CTGCACTATTTCATGCTACTTCCATTTAAGGATTTTCGGATGTAAAAGAAAAAAAGAGTTTTCATGTCCTTTACTTTCCTGCACTTGCAAACTTTTATGATTACTTGGCATTTGTCAGGAGGGAAGTAGATGGCGAGTATGTTCTGGGAGAAGTCTGGCTATTGCTATTTCAGGTGGAAGAGCRACTCTAACTGGACACATGAGATTTTTAAGAAGGCAGATTTGGTTAAAACCATTTTAATGTCTTTTGAGGTGGTGGAAGAGGGAATTAGAGGGCCCACATGGGGGGGTTTATTTGCTTTGGGGAGGTGAGGAATTACTAGATTTTAAACACAAACAGTCTGTTTTCATGTCTTTTTTCCCCACTCCTAAAGGCAAAGAAGCAAGTCAGCAGATTGCTAGAAAGCACCTATGCATTTTCTGTTCTTTATTGCTCTGGAGGTTAGATGCAGGCGAGCGCTGGGGCTGAGCATCCCGTACTCCTGTGTCCGTGTACTGAAACGCTCCTGTGCCAAGTTTCCTTTTTCCTATCAGCAGCATCAGTTTGTTCTTTCTTTACCTTGGGCTGTCACAACACGGCTAAGTGCTGATGTAAAGAAAACGGCGGGTTAATTGAGCGCTCCCTCTAAGTGCTCGCCGTGGTGCCGAGGGGGGACCAGCTCCCGGATCAGACTTCTGGGTCCTCTGCCTTGCAGTCCCCAGGTTGCAAACTGGGGCTCGTTTTAATYGACCTGGGGAAACAGGGGACAATTAAAGTGGTTTGTGGAGTGATGTCTTGTCATGGAGCAAGGCTGGCTTGGTAGCAACAGATTGGCGGTTTTTGTTTATTTCTCTGTTTTTAAAAAGCAAAGTCCTATAATCAGTTAATCAAATGGCTCCCTCTGAAAGTCTTGATTCTTTGCCAGATGAACTAAACCCTATTGAGTCATTATATAGATTTAAATTGCACAAAATGCAAAATATTGTGCTGTAGTTCAGCCCATTTAGCCTTTGGATTTGATATGATGATACCAGCACTAATAAATCAATTTACTGTATTCTGATTCTGAAAGGTAAATACCTCGTGTACCTTCTCCAGTTTGGTTTTGTCATAAAGTCTTTAGGATTAAGGTTTGGTTGGAGATGAAATGGTTCTGAACGAGTGTCCGCTGGGACCTTCTGCTTATTTTTACTGAAGCAAAGTCTGTAATATTGTTCCACTAAGTAGTTTAGCAAGTTGGCCTTTACTCTTTGTCACTTAAAACTTTCTCCTTAAAAGCTTTTCACAAGTAAACAGACTTCAGACATGTGACGCTGCAGATCATATACTCAAATTTGCTTATCATGTTAGTTGTAATTACAGCTGCCGAACAAGGAGAAGCTCTATATCCTAGAGCTGAAGGAATTCAATTTAAAGGATAAAATGTTGCTGTAATTTCTATTGCACAAGCATTGATTTTTTTTAATTTTTTTTTTTTTTGTAGAAGCTAGTAAGACATGATAGATTGCCATTTTTACACCTTTCTTACCTGTTGTTAGGTACAACCCTGGTTTTGCTGAATTTAAATCCATGCAGTTCAGCCTGTCATGTTGCTAGAAAGGGATGTTGCAGACTTCTGTATTTAACTTTGCAGGTTATCTCGGGGTGTAAAAAGAAAATCTCTCCTAGTTTCTTCTGAGCTCCGTGTGAGAAACTCGCTCATAAAATGATAGTTTTGTACCCTGATTACCATAGACTGCACGTAATTATTTTGTGCATCTCTTGAATGCTGAGTAAACTCATGTTTCTTCACATGAAGTGCTCTCAGCACAGCTAACCTATATTTCTTGTGATTTAGCAACACTTCAAAAATCCAATTTAATAAATGCTCTTACTTGTTTTAATAACTTTAATTGAGAAAACAAAATCCAAAATACATTTGAATTGTAGCACAAACCTCCTCAACCTATTTTTCCAAACGATAAAAAGGAAAAAAAAAAAAAATCTTCATGGCATTTATTTTTTTTGGCTGGTATTTCTCAGTTAATATTCCATAGTGGAAGATGTCGAACTAATTAAGCATTAAAAGAACGAGCGGTTAGCAGGTATAATGTTGTTAGACTTCAGTTAATGTGAACGTGACCATGACCTCCCAGACAGATCAAAGACTAATCTGTGTGACAGCTACAAGATGGCAGAGCTTGCCACAGGCCTTGTGCTGCTGCCTGCTCGAGCTCTTTGTCTGTAAAGCATGCCTCATAGCTAAGAGTATATTTTTAAGGATGAACAGGTAAAAGTAAAAGGCTGTCTTTTGACATTTTAACTAATCCCTTCTAGCCCGTGCTTTACTGCACATTTAGGATATTTGCTAGCAGGAGCGACTGGCTTTTTCACATATGCAACATGTCATTTTGAATTGGGCGTTGATTTGATGCTTGATAATGGAAGAGTTATACAATGAAATAGATTCTGATTGCATTAAAATGACATGCCCTGGCCTTTTACCTTTAGTAGACTTATAATGAAAACTGAACTCTCAGCAATGTAAGTTGTCATCTCATGCTGAGACATGATGGTTAGAGTGAGAAAACATAATGTTTGCTTTCTGTTATCCCATTTTTTAAATTAAGGTAGAAAAGCTGCACTGCACATTTAAAGCAGGAGAATACGAATTTTTCCTAATTTTAAAAATGGGAAATTTGTTGTTAGCGTGTTGCACAAGCAGTATAATTTCCATAATGCTCTGGTGTATCAGAGGACTGTGGAAGTTGTGTATTGTCTTTATGGGGTATTGCAGCTCAGCATAGGTGATCTGACACTTTTACTTCAGTGTTTTTATGCACGTAATTATAAATGTCGTGGTTTTGTCAGTGTAAGGCATGCGGATAGTTATACATTCCTTCACCAGTCTGTTGTAGGTAGGGATAAGAAATTATTGGAAAGATGCATTTTTTACAATTGGCCAAAAACTCGCCCATGACTGAATTTCTTCTCCAGAGGAAACTGTTAGAGAACTGACCAGGGCTAGCAGACCAATGCAAAATATTTACAGGAATGTATTGTGTCATTTTAAATACTCGGTAATACCCTTTAGTTACTTTAATTTGTATTTGCATTTGTGGAAATGCAGAGATATGTGCAAATTCCTTTTTAAGAAATGGCTTYGATGTTCCTGAGCTGTTCAGAAGACAGCAGCTTCTGTTTTGAAAATTGCAGAGAAAGCCTCATGTGCCAATCAATAAATTCTGAGTGACTGGAACAAATATTAAATCTGTGAAATCAAACTGAATTTACTTTCTGGCTGTAAAGATTGAATTTGTAAATTTGACAGGCTATTTAAAGGGCATAAGTACATAAAATAAAATTTCTTATCCGAATTCAACTTGAAAGTTACCTGTCAGAAGAGGTTAGAAGTCTGCTGTTTTCTCTCCTGAAGCGTGTCCTTTCGGTTGTCAGTTTAGAAAGGTTAATACTCTACAAAAGAGCAATGGAAAGACCCTTTCTGCTGTAGCTTCCCTTTTGCTTATTTTGAAAATAATTCAACTCCCCATCCCCGATTATAATCAGTTCTGATGATACATTTTAGAACTGTGTTTAATGTCCAGATAAGAAGCTCATGCTCACATTCAGATCAGGCATTTTTAATGGGGAGTTAGCAGTTTGACTAGAAAGGATTTCTTTGGCAGGGTTTCTTTGGCGGTTGACACCAGGTTTGTCTTTGGAGTGGCCAAAGACAGCTTTTTTTAAGAGAAGAGCAGACTTTCCTCTTCCTCTAGCCCACAAGTTGCAATCCTGGCCACCTATTTTGCATGGCAGCAGGACAGACTATTGCTTCAGCAGGCCACAAGTTGATTTTTTTCTTATTTTTTAAGTGCTTTGAATTTAGTTTATTACACCCATGTTTCTTAGTGTGTGCTTTCCCCTGGCGTGTGCTCAGCCCCAAAATACTGCCTAGTGTCTCAAAAGCTAGCGATAAGGAAGAGCTCTGCAAGCAAAATAATGCAGTTTTGCTCACAGGCACTGTAAATCTGGAGAGATTGTTGCAGCTTAAAACATTTCTTCGGCCACTCTACTTTTGTGTCCAGTTCAGATTGTGGTGCAGCTACACAGGTTCTTTTTCTGCACTTCTGCCACGCGTGGAAAGAGAGAGTCTATATATTAAACCACAGCGTATCTACCTCTTGTTAACTGTGAGTAACATGAATGTTTCTTCTAGGTATTAATGTTCACCCCGCTGAGCCCGTCGCAGTCCCTTCGTCAGGGGTCAGGACACGAGCTGCTGCTCGTGACTGCCGCGTTGTGCAACGAGGCCGCCGCTCGCCTCCCGGTTAATGTTTGAAACGCGGCTCCTTGCAACCCCTATTCAAGAGAGTTCTGTTTTGTCAGCTGCAGAATAATAGGTTATGAAGCTCCTCTCTTTTGCAGATTATAGTATTTTCACACTGCACAAAAGAAGAGGAATTCCCAACTCAATCTAAGAAGCTAGAGTGCTTTTCATACCTTATTTCCCTTTTTCCCTTTTGACCCATTTTTTGGCAACTTACAAACTCAAACCTTGCAGTTCAGGGGATCAGTTTGGGGCAGATGTTTGTGACCCACAGTAGAAATTGTTGCTCATTTTCTTGGTGGACAGAAAGGGGTTTGGAAGGAAGTTCATGGCAGGACACTTGAAGAAGTGTGGCTTTTTTCATCTTCCCCGATGCGGGCTTGTCCTAACATTTAGTCAGTGCTCTGCTCTTCATTCTAGTCAGGAGGTTAGCACTTAGTTTAGTCTTAAAACCATTATGTTGAATTGATAAGCCATAGCACAGTATAAAGCAAATAATGATTCAGTTGGAATAATCAGTTCTACTTGTGATCTGGATAGCACTTGGAAGAAGACTTGGAAGCCCTTGGAGTGATGTTTTATAATGTGTTATTTTATYTAAGAAGCTCCCTTATTATATTTTCACATGCATTTAATTGTTTGCTTTTGGCCCCACTCATTATGTTCCCTGTGTCAAGTTATTGTTTGAAACAATATTTTGTGATTTCTGTTCAGGTTGAATTAAAGAGGAAGTACAACGACCAGCACAAAAATAAGAGAGGCCTTTTAGCAGGTAGTCATTGGTATGAAATTCAAGCTTATAGAGCTCTCAACCAAGCCCTGGGAAGGTGAGATAAACTGACCTTAATTAAAAATATATACATTTATATTTTAATATATATTATATTTTTAATATATATTATATATTTACGTAATACATCTGCTTTTATCATAGTCAATTTGCAAACTGTAAGAAAATTAAACCTCTGTGCTGCACTCACTTAGTGAAGTTTTGCATCTGTAACAAACAAACACTTCTTCTATATTTCAGCACTTTCTAACCATCTAATTCTTGTCTAATTCTCACAGTCTTGGGTTATATGCACACCGATTTTCTATCTGCTCTTTTTTCTTGCTGTTTTACAGGTGTATAAGACACAGGAATGATTGGGGTGCTCTCATTTTAGTTGATGACCGCTTTCGGATTAACCCTAATAAATACATAACTGGTAAGAAGCAAAAACGTTTCTGGGGAAGTTTCTAACATTGACACAGACTACAAAAATATTATACACACACACAAAAAAACTGATAGATAATATATATACAGCTAAAATAAAAATGGACATGCACAATATTGYTTAAAAATCGTTGGGGAATGCTTTACGTGTCTCTGTTCTTGACGTGTTTTGAGATGATGTAGAACAGAGTTGCTTGTAGTCAGCAGGTGGAGCTCAGCTGCTGTACTATAAGCCAAGCTGCTTTCTGACATGTCTGGTTTCACTAAGAACATATGTAAATTATCTAAGGAAATGGAAATTATACATATTGATAAGGGTAATTTTTTTGTGAAAATAAATTGCTACTCTCTATGTCAGTTAATTTTTAATAGTTCATGGTAACAAGCAAAACACTTGGCTGTAAGAGGAGTGTAATGATGTTTGGCAACATAGCAGTTTAAACTTCAGAATAGCAAAAATGGTAGAGATGGCAATATTTTTTTCTCTTTTAACAAAAAGGGTCATTCATTAAATCATGCTCCTAGCCCAGGGAAAGAAAAGATATAAAAGCTTTTTTTTTTTTTTTTTCTGCTTGAAATCTGAGTTTGTATGTAATAAATAGATGCAGAGGTGTTGCAGTTTTAGGATACTCTTTACGAGAATGAAATATGTCATATAGATGATGTAGTTTTGCGTTAACACTCCTCCTTTTCCTTAGGATTATCTAAGTGGATTCGTCAACAAATCAAGCACCACGAAAGTTTTGATAGTGCGCTTGAATCTTTGGATACATTTGCTAGAAAAAATCAGAAGGGYGTTGGTGGATCATCACAGGACAACAGTGAATTTCTGGACGTACCTTCCAGTTCAAAAGACCTGTCAYCACCTTCTTCACTGGAGGCTTCTATTCATCTATCATCAGATGTCCCTGCTGAAGACGAGGAGCAAAATTTGGTCCCAGAAATTAGTATTTTTACTGCCGTCACCTCAATTAGTCCTGCAACATCGAGTCAGCCAAGTACTTACATGGCAACAATGAAACAAAGTATGTTCCTTTCATGTGAAAAAGAACATTATTAACAATCTTAAATATGAAAAATGCATATTTGGAGGATAAAATAATCTTCTAAATTAATAAACTACTATGCTGCAAAATGATAATTGTGAACAAATGAGTATCATGATTATCACAACAAAAAAGCTGAACTCATACAATAGATGATTGTTTATATTTTATCTAAATAATGTAAAAGTCTCAGCAAATGCTTTGGTTCTAGCTATATCTGATACGTAGAGTTTGCTAAGGAAACATCTTTTAAATAATCTCTTCCTCTAGTAGCTTTACTTAGGAATAGATGTATAATTACTTTACTAAATTTTAGGAACACTTTTTCATTTTCAGATAGCAAAGATGTAAATGAAATAAGATGTAAATGAAAAATACTGCTTTTTTTCATCTATTCATATGTATATGCTTTAACATTACATGTGCCAGTTAATCTATTGATTTCATTAAGATAATTCATGCGCAAAGATAGTTGTAACATCTGGGCTTTTGTTTGTATTGGATCTTAATGAGTATTATAAAATAACTGTAAACCTAATAAAACAGTGTTAGTTTAGATGTGCTAAACATGTTGTAAATCAGCAGGGGGAAAGCATATACAATTAATTAATGTTTTGTGWTTTTTCACAGGTGGCCAGAAAGTTGATGTAGAGGGTCATTCTCGCTGTGCAACACAAAGAGAAAAACATATGGACTCCACACCCAAAACGCTTGCCACTGAAACAGAGAGAGAAGAAAAGCACACTCGGACTAATTCTGATTTTATGAAAGAGCACTGCTGCATTAAACCGTTGACTTCAACACCTTTGTCTGCAGCTGAGAGCTCCACGTCCGTAGCTAAAGGCAAGCACAAGAAGAATGCGAACAGGGCTAGTGAACTTATTGATAGTGTAAATCAATGCCAGTCATCATTCATTACAGAACATAAACCAAGTGTACCAGCATCATGTTTGGAAACAAGGGGGTTTTTGCTTGAAGATACTGAGGCTGCAGTACCTGAAGAAGGGAACCTTGGGGAGCCACAACTTTGTGTTGAGCCCTGTAGTGAACGTCTTTCAAAAGGGGACAAATCTGAACTTGCTAAATTAAATGTATCTGCAGAAGAGGAGGATGAGGATGAGAGTATCTACTATACACCAGAACTCTATGATGATGTAGAACCAGAGGAACAGAAAACCAATCTGCTAGTTCCAGCTGGTAATAAAGCTGAGAATTGGATAGAACAAGAAAAATGCACAGTTGCTGAAGATTTTTTTGAAACCAACATCTCAAAGCCACTAAATATTATTAAAGAAACAATTAGTGATGGTGACACAAATGCCAGTTTACATGGAATAAAGCAAAATGATGAGAGTAAGAATAGTGCAGTTAATAATGTTGTAGACATGACTAGTGGAGTAGAAGCAGAGCAGATAGAATCTCAAGAAGTGGACAACAAAAAAAGGAAAATCAGTCTTTCCAGATCACGAAATAAAGGTGTGTCATCTTTCTTATTGACCAATACTAGCACGTAGTGTCAGATATGATGGGACATATGGGGGAAAAAACTTTCTGATGTATCCTCACTGTTGAGCAGTCAGGAATTTCTATTTCTCATTTCATATATGCAATCAGGCTCAATTTTTCTGTATCTGTCTTTTCAGTGTGCAAGCTACCATGCRGTTTTCTGTAGATGTAATAAAGATTATTGAGCATAAATGTACTGCCAAAGGCCTAATATGATGCGTGGAAATTCTGATTGGAAACTGATATAGCATTTCCCTTGTAATTACAGGATGAGAAGCAGGTTGGTCTGCTGCAGATTGAATGAGTTTACTATTAAAGGAAATCAAACAATTAGATTTTTCTCAGAAAGCAAAACAAGCATTTAATCAAATTACAGTTATCTACATTTGTTAGGGCTTTTGTGTGTGTGTGTTAATTATGCAGAAAAGCATCTTTGCAGATCAAGTAATGTAATAGATTAGGCCTGAAGTAGGCCAGCTGTGCTCTTCAGGACTTTGCTTCCCTCAAATCCCTTTTGTTAAAATTTTGCCCATCAGAAGTTGTGTAATGCTATTGGGGCGCTTCAAAATTTGATAATTATTACATTTCCTTTCTTTGTTTTGTGTAAAAGTTGAAGTTCCTTTAACGTTTTCTTTTGAGAGGGTCTTATTTTCTTTTGTAAGTAAATTTATACATAATGGACTTTAAACTTGCCTTGGTGTACTTTTTTTCTGGAAGTATTTTAAACATTTTTTGGATTTATTGCAATCAAAGCCTAAGCCAAGATTTTGCTGTAATAAAACATGCTATGCCTGATTTTCAAGAAAAGGCTACTTATTTCCATCATATATTACTATTAAGATGCTGGATTTTTATAGTCTAAGTCTGGCTTATAGGTATTTATATATTTTGAATGAGAGCTGAGATGACATTGTAAACTGGTGGTTTTCCATATAAATTCTCTGATGTCCACTTCCACGCAACGGTGAACGTGTTCGTATCAATTTGATTTAAACTGTACCCTTTCTTTGCACCATAGAGCTGTATAAAATCAGATACACCGTTTGCAAGAATGGWAAGGATTCTGTTGAATTTCTGTAACAACCCATTATCTTGCAGTCCTCAGGACCCAAAGACACTTAGTTAAACTTGTCTTATTGGTGCCGCATGTGGACTCTGTTCCTGGGTTTAGCTTTCACAAAATCATCTTCCTCAGGTGCTGATGGGTTTGCACTAGCCTGTGCTTCTGGCAGAAACCTCCTCTAATCCTCAAAGCAACTTAAACATATAACACATCGAAAAATAAACAGCCTTAATTTAGATTGAAGTAAATGATTGAGTACCAGGACTTGCTAGGCCAGGCAGGGTGTGTGTGTAATGGGCCACAGGACTTGAGCCCTCCCTCCTCCACGGCCACCGTGGGAGCAGAGCTGCTCCCACGAGTTCCCCAGCTTCATTCCCACAGCTCTCTGAAAGATTGCTTTTCCTAAAAGAAATGTTTTTCTGTAGCAAATCATTTTTTCGTGTTTAGATCTAAATAGGTAGTTGAATTATTCACTTGCAGTTCCTAAATCTGTGGAAATTAAATTATTGAAAATTGCTGTCTTACTATGATATTATAACTGTGCATGATCTCTAAAATAATCATCAAATCTTGAATTTGTTGTTAGGTCTGAAAGTTCAGCGAAAGTGCAGACGAAGCAAAGCTACTGTTAGGGAAAGTGGCAGCACCTGTGAGAGAAAGGTACCACCTAGATAGAATAAAGCTCTTTAAATTGCTAATGTTTTTTTGTTATGGTGCAAGAGACAAGACCTTATATAATCTTTCCAATGATGAAAAAGTGCAATGGGTTCATGGTTCTTTGCRGCTTGCTGTAGATACCTTGCAGTTTACACGCTCAGCAAATACCCTTGTTTCTCAGCTGAAACCAAGAGACTGACTGCCTTCAAGACCTGTTAATGTACAGAGAAGCTGAGAATATTCAACAGGTTACAGAATGCAGTTTATAACCAATTATAGATATGGAATCATGATTCTTTTTTCCAATATATGTGGAGCTTCCAATGTCTGATTGGCTTGTAATTTTTGGAGCAAAATTTCCAAAGCCAAAGACCCATGATTGCATAAGAGTTGGACCCTTAATTTCCTAGTTCCTTTGCAGAGTTTCAGAATGCATCTACTATAGCCCGAAGCCTTATTGACTMTATAAAACATCTCATATTTTATATGAAAATATTTCTGTGAAAGTTGGTTAAATGCCTTTTTAGTGTGATGCACATTATAATCACTATCTAATATAAATGATAAACATCGATTCAAAGTATTTCTTCCAGTATTGCAAATAGTATATTTCTCTGAGGCAGTTTTGTTATATTTCTCAGTGTGTTTATATTTAAATGCTTTAATTAGTAGAGTTGATAGCTAAAATACACAAAACAGTATTTTTATTAACTTGCCCATTGGGTTGTTAGAAGGGAACCYGTCGCCAGCCTTGCAAGAAAGGACTTTATTGCATGGTCTGTGGAGCTGAAATACTACCAAAAGCAGAGGGTAAGATCTTCATAACTGATTGTTACTGGTTCATATACAGAATAATAGAAACTTGTTATGCATCTTTTTACTTCTACAGCTTTGCATACTGCAGGCATGTTTTTAGAATAATGAATTAATTTGTGTGTTGGAAATGGTAACTAAACAAACAAGTTGTTAGAAATACCCTTGAGACTTGCAGCAAATCTTTTTGCGGGGCGACTTGTCACTACAGAGCAGCCTTTTCTACTTGGGATCTCAGTGAAAATAACTCTGCATTCTTGTCATCTTCCTGCCATTTCTTATTGCTGTTGCTTGATTCACTCATCCTGACATACTGACMTATCTGGACGTATAGCAGGAATCCGAATGGCATTTGAGCGTCAGCTGAAGGCAACCRGTTGTGGCATCGCCCAGGCTGAAGGAGAGGAGCGGGTGGTGGTAGCACCGCGGCCCGGGCCTGGGAGCGGGGATGTTCCCTCTGAGGAATTGCCACCAGGGGCTCCGAGAAGCTTGGTAATATCTTGGCAGAATAACTCCATGAAGCTAATACATGCATTAATGAAAATGTCAAGGGCTTTATATGCATCTCTGAAAATCCTTGTCATGTTATTCTTCAGTATGTAAGCCATCTTGTGTTAATTTAGATTGCCTTTTTTAGCCTCCAGTTGATGCATTACATGAAACTGATAAAATCTTCTCTAAAAAGGACTCTCATATTTTTGYGAGACAACTCGATTTGGGAAAATCTACAGGCTGATAATGATAATAAAAACTGCCACTTTTTTAGAAGGCTCTGTGTCTTGAGACTGCTAGACTGTCTGGTAATGATAGCATAGATATAGATATTTAAAAGTCCCTCCCCTGCAAAAGGGCTTAAAGTGAGGAAACAATGATGGAGCTGGAATCAAATTAGAGGTACTGGTAAAAAGAAAAAGCCCTCCAGGTAACWCCCTTCAGCACCAAAGGTGAGGAAAACCACGGTTAGGAGGCAGGAACTGCTTTGCTAACTGCTTGTGACTCCATTGTATGGTGTAGCTGGACTGGGCACCAGGACATAAAGCTCTGCCAGACGTTATCCACATCCGAAGGATGGAGAACAAAGGAGAAGCCTCTTTCACAGGAACTTGCACATCAGTGAGGTGCCTGGGGATCCCAATTGCTTCTGGAGCCATTAAGTTGCAAACAGAACAGTTGAGGTTGGAGGGGACCTCTGGAGATCATTTGGCCCTATGATCTTCATAGAAGCGCTCAAAATTCACGTTACCTTATGGATAAAGCAAGGGAGGCTCGAGGCTTTCCTTTATGCATTTGTCCTCTTGTCCTTGCTAATTGGTATAGATCGGTGAATTGAAATCACTGTGCATTGAATCAGTCGGAATCACTGAACTTCACCATTAGCAGGCTCCGAAGTGTCTGTTATCAGCACGAAATTTTACATTGTTTGCATGGAATCTCATGTCAGTTAATTGATGAAAATTAAAAAATCTGTCACAATTTTAAGAAACTTAAATGACTTTGTTAAAAGTAGATTCACTCACTGATCAACTTAGGTGGTGTAACAAGGGGAAAATTATCTGTTGAAAAGTGGATTTTGGATATGTTAAAAACGTCGAACAAGGCTGTCTTCCAAGGTCCATTTAAATCAATGGGAATCTTTTCACTGACTCCAGTGGGTATTGGATCAGGGCCTAAATTACCATCTTGTAAATGTGGAAAATTTGCAGTAAGCTCYAACAGTACTGTATTCAAAACTGTGTATATATAAAGCCTTACACTCCACTTTTTAAATTATAGGAATTTTGAGGAAAGCTTTCTGCAGTAATATGGAACTGAAAGTTATCTGGAAATTCTTCAGAAATACTAATGTAAGAAGCACACGCTCCTTTAGCAATTGCAAGTGTGAACTCGATGCCCTTTCAGCGGATGATGATACGATGTTGATCATCACAGATGCTGCAAGTCTTAGTCATCTTAAAGAAACTTTGAAGGTTTATCAGGTGCCAGTGAAATCTGAAGGTAAATCTTGCTGATTACAGATAAACGCCACCTAACAGATGTCAAGTTCTTTAGCTTTAAATGGATCAGAAAACATTGTTTATTTCTTGCAGGTGCCTCTGATTTTTGGGAACATTTGCACCTCATGATCTGTGTGTGAAATTACCCCCTTTAGAGTAGATGAATTTCATAGATTTTTTTTTTTTTTTTTACTGGAGGCAGGCAAAACTCCACAAAGATACAGATTATGAAAAGACAGTTTTTTTTTTTTTTTTTTTAATTTAAATTTAAAAAAAAAAAAAAAAAAGATGAAAACCCATGAATTGGAGGTCCACACCCAACCCCAGGGGTTAAAAGTAAGGGTTTGTATAAGCACAGTGTTTGATAAGACGTTATTCCTAGTGCCAAGCTGGGGAACGGGGAATCTGTTAGCAGTGTTCAGAGGACAAGGACTATAAGTAACGTAGATACTTTTGTTAGGGACAGTTCTGCTGTAGGACTGATACCATCTATATTAAATGTTACAGAACTTGCAGCGATAGGTAAGCGTTCTTTATCCCATTATTTCCTGGCAAAATAAGAACGTTGCATTTTCAGATGTATAGCTTGTGAAATTTTACCTGTTTTAATGTATCTCTTGATACCTGTGTAAGACATTTTATTTTCTTCCTTTCTTTTTGCAAGACTTGAATGCCAGTTTATCTTTAAATGCTATTTGGAATGAGAATGAATGTTCTTTGACAAGTTACTTACAATGCAGGAACTGTGTCATCCAGTCGGTTTCTCCATGTCCTTTAATAGGAGCTGAAGTTACTCTTTTCCATAATAAAGCACAGTCACGGGTAAGTCGAAGTGTTCTGTTTCATATACTAAAATTATTACTGAATTGTTTATATGGAAAATATGAAAATAGCATTTCTTAAAGGGATAGAATGAAAATATTGTTTTAGTTAGAGGAATTGCATATGAATTTCTATCACAGGGGCTTGAAATGATTTTCAGTATATTAGGTAAGAACTGAGGACAGCATCATTGTCTGTAACTAGTTTGATGCAGTGTTTTTATTATTCAGTTTTATGAAAGGAGGTAGGAAAATAGACTTCCATTATCATTGTCTTCCATCATGTTCCAAAGGGAACATGAAAATAAAACTTAATTGCATGTGTGGTATAGTCAGAGTTGAATCTTCAGAAAAACAGTTTTAGTTTATTCATAGCAGTAACAAAAATATTAGTCAGACCATGATGGAAGGACACAGAAAAGGTCTAAAGGAGTCACAGAAATAAGTTTAGTTACAGGTATTGTATGTATAGTATTATATTTATATGAACTTTCCAAAAACTGAGCATGATTCTTAGGTTATAGACTATGCATCTTGCTATCCCCTGAATAAGCTTTTTGAAATGTGTTATATGACAGTGCGTGGTGATAAAAGTAAGTTTATAAGCATTGTTTTCTACAGATGTTGATATTTCAGGCTGTATTCTTAACATTTCCTAATATTTTGGGAGTCATTTTATGTGAGAAATACTCAGCAAARCAAAATACTAGCTTGGGGGAATTTATACAGTGCGAATAGGGAATAATGGGCTTCTATGAGGTATAACAAAATGATTTCTTGTTTAAACATACCTTGTTTCACCAACCTTCTGCCTTCCGTTTAAAAGAAGGGCGTTGAGCTCTGAGTTTCTTGATTTCCATGAGTGGCTGCACAGCCCGAGCCCTGTCAGCAGTTTCGTTGCACCGTGCCGAGGTGGGCAAGCAGAGCGGGGACGGACTCTTTCTTCCCAAGTGCATCAGATAAATGTGTAATCAGCTGGGCTTGGCTTTGCCTCTGTTGTGTTTTTACTACCGGGTAAAATAAACAAGGGTATACTCTCAGCCCGCTTGCAGGTTTTAACCTCTCCTGTTTCTTTTTAGCTAAAAAACATCCTGTTAATTGTTACAGGGGGGTTAAAAGCATCTGTTTCTTTCCTTTTTTTCCCCCTCCTACTGTATTTCCATGCACTAGAAAGAAATCTCAGGGAACTTCTAGCCTATGAAAGTGCAACATATCCTGAAAAAGTAAAAAAAAAGGCCACATCTGGCTTTTGAGAGTCCTTCTGAGAGTACTGGCATTCGATAGAGAGACACCTAATCCCTTAATGCATCTCTYTGTTTCAGAGAGAGACTCGGGGGAAAAAGAAATCCCCGCATCTTCAAAAGACCTGTGAAAAAATTGTCTAGTGGGCACCTCTGCCTTGGGTCTGGTCACACTCTGTGCCTCGTCACCAGCGTAATGTGGTCACGGTGCGGAGGGAGCTCTCCTTGKTTTTTTGTGAAAATAACGTTATTCATTTAGAAAGTTAACATGGGTTGGGGATGAACGATGGCAGAGGTAAAGGTAGCTTTAATTTGGTCATTTCCTCGCTTTAAATTGAACAGCTTTTATTTTTGCCACTGGGAGTATGTGAGTGTAAAGGAAGGCTTGTGGAATGAGTCGAAGGAGGTGCAAATGGTGATTTATTACACGCTATCACATGCCAGAGCAAACGCACGTGCCTTAGTGTGAAGAGCCTGTGATTAAGTCTGGTTTAGCTCCCACTTGTATATTCTTGAATACAAGATCCTGCTGTTGTTGAGCAATATATTTGTGGAGATAAAAATCAACATTGTAGTTTACACTGCAGCCTGCACTGTGTTAAATGGTGTAGGTTGTCATGAGGTATCAGATGTCATCTGAAATTACTTCGTGTCATGTGCTCTCTATAAATCGAGAACAGTTGGYTCTGGAAGGCAAGAAATTGTTCATTTAATAAAGATCATATTGCTGTAGCAATACAAGCTTAAATAGAGTCACTAGAGTTAGTATCTGTGATTTATTTCTAAACTAAAGGCTTTGGTAATCATTTAAAAAACCCTTCTATATTTTCATGACTTAAATTTAAGCTGTCGTTAATGAATTATATTTTGTTAACCTTCTGGGGCTTTTTTTTTTTTTAACCTGTACTTTTTTTAAAAGTATCCTTTTATTTTGAAAATTGGATTTTTAAATTTACTGCTGCGTTTCTACAAGTTCTATTGCATCATGTGTTTGCCATTGACCTAGAAACCTCCATTAACTTATTCAGGCTTTATGAATGGTTTATGTGATGTCAGTGACGTATAATTTAATATTCTAATTATTTATATTCTTTAAAATACTCTAGATAACTGTGTGCTCCTGCTTCCAGTCTTCCACGTGAAACGGTAACAGCTTTACAAAAGACCATACCTTGGGGCTTTCAGAAAAAATAAATGTAAAGGACTCAAGGTGCCTTAAGATGCAGCCTAGCTAATGCAATAAATTGCCTTTCATATGTTAAAAGGTAAATGAAAGTCTGACAATTAAATTTTTTAAACTTATTAAGCAGTTGCTGCTATAACTGATTAGACAGTCAGCTGCTGAGACAGTAGCATTTATATAACAGGATATTGTTTTGTTCATCATGTTGCCACATTTGGCAAACTTTTATCTTAATGCGCCTTGCGGGAATACCAGTCTGACCTCAATCTGAGTAAAGCCTTAATAGTCGACGTGAGGGATGCTTGCAGGAGGTGGCACGGTCGCTTTCGCAGACTGTATATTTGTTATCGCATGTTAATCAGATTCATCATTCTGTTTAATAAAGATTTCATCTGCCACGCGAATGCATAATCGGCTATGTCTGAGTGACCATCTTTTGTCTTGAGCAGATTGCTAAAACTGCATTAAGCATCATTAGACAAAAATGACGACCTTATTAATTTGTCCTTTATGTGTTTTCCAGCAGATTGGATCTCATTATTATGCAAACACAGTACACAGAGCAGCACCAGAAGTAGCTCATTAATGTTTCTTTCCCTTAGTACATAACAGATTATTATTGTGAAGTGTGCATGAAATAATTGCTAATTACGTGCCTTAAATTGTACAGTGATTGTCTGTCTTGATTTTTGCATATGGTTTAAGAGCACTGTAGAAGAGCATCACAAGCTACAGGTTAACAATACTGAAGCCAGTAAAGCAGAGGAAGCAAAGCACAAAACGTGCATTTTAACACACTTTTTTTCTGCCTACGTGGAATAATTAGGGCAACTACGGGTTGTTTTGTAGCTACCTCTTGCACAGTTTCTTCTTTTCAAAGAAATGACTCTCAGCTAGCACATACTTTAACAGATGTCTTTGCCAACAAATACTTGCAGGCAAGTTTGAACTGTTGACTTCTAGTAAAATATCCTATAACTTCTTAAATCATAATTCTTGAATTAGTCCAGGGTCCTTATTCACACACCACGAAACTCTTAGGTGTTTCCAAATAGAGTTCTTGCTACCTTGTGTTTTCCTAGCTATGTTTTGCGTTTCTTACAGCGTCTCTTTTCAGTGTAATTCTCCTTAAAATACATAAGCATGTTAGAAATTAAATATTAGGATTTGGCATTCATCTGTAGTTTGACAACTTTGTGCTAAGTGTCTAATTGGTTTAAGCTGGTAGTGCTTCATACTTATCCATGGCACATCTTCTGTAATCTGTCTGCCACTGTAGCTGATAAGACTTGGCCACGACCGAAGTTTTTGCAGCACTAGAAATAAAATCCTGATCCATTAGGGGTTTGCATGGATTTAGCTTTATAATCTGGTTTAGAAATTGTGAGTAGTCAGATCTCAGATGCAGGCGTTGTTTTCAAAAAGATGCCATGAAAATCATTACATCAGCTTAGATTTTCTTAATGCGAGTCTTGTTAACAAAATAACCTAAATAACATAGTGGCTGTTTCAGATGAGAAATATTTGTGACTGGCAAAGACTTTATTATGCTTGTGTATAAACAGGTATCCTTGAGATTCAGGAGAATAATAATGCTTGTCTTAAATTACTAGTAATAAAAATTTGTACTGTCTTAACTCCGTTGGTCGGAGTTAGTATCAGCTGAGAGCAGCCATTTAATTTTGGTTGAAATAAATTGAGCAGAGTAGTTATATATTATTCTTTAAACATTTCACTTTTAATAGGTCATTATTGAATACATAGGAAGAATGTAAATATCTTGCACTTCCAAAAATCAGGATGCAGTTTTTCTGCAGATGCAAATTCTCTTTACTATCCTGGTAGCAGCTGGGCCTGTAGTTTAAGATGATAGATCACCTCASTAATAAAGGTGGAAAATAGTAGAATGGCATCACTTATTTATTTGGATTAATAGTGTTTAGGAATGTGTTGGTAGGAATAGGCAGAGGTGTGCACCTGTTCATATAGAGGTTCCGCATCCTGTATCAACCAGTTTTAATAAGTGCATTTCAATTTTTCGATGAGAGTATCACACAGAGATGCGTGTGTATATGCTGGCCTTGGATCCRCAATGGTTTGACAATACATTTTTTCCTTTTGCTCTGTCATTGGTATTTTTCTATGCCCTTTTTCTTTGCCTGCTGCTTTGAGTTTCTCAWGCATTCAGTTTTACATTTTATTTAAATCTCGTGAGTATGCCTGGCCCGTATTATTTCCAATGTGTAAATTTATTTCCTGTGAAAGAGTACACCATACTGCTCCATACTAATTCCTGAGCACTCTGCAAGGCTTGTGAAGAATTTCCAAAAAATAACATACTAAGGAGCTTGAGACTCCCAGGCCATGGGATATAGGAACTCATTTCAGTTTAAAGGACTSAAATATTTTTAGAGGATCTGTATGCACATCTTCAGGAGGGAAGAGCCATAGGTGACATCAAAATAAACCCCATCTCCTGGGTAGTTTCCTTCTGCTGGTGTCAGAATCAATAATGTCCCAGGAGCTATCTGTCTGGATCGCTTTACCTGTCTTTGGTATTCAATATATTTGTGGTCC